AGTGTCACTGGCCCTCATATGTGGGATCCGAACCGGGGCCCTCTGGCATCCCAAGCGAGTTCTTAACCATCGCGCCACTCGGCCGGCCCGTGGCTTTCATTTGATGTGTACTTTTTTCTCCCCTCCTTCAGTGCCCTTGGGGAGAAGATCTACTCATTGATTTTGTACCAAACTTGACAAAGCCTCAGTTGTCAAAGGTGGTACCAGGAAGATGTCACACATGGGAGAAAAACTGTTCCTAGAGCAAATGATGATGAGACATATGAAGGTGAATGCATACTTGTGCCCACACATGGGTGCTTTGTGGGAGACTCAGAAGTCTGTGAAAGAGAGCACCCATCAGAGTAAGAAATCCAACCCAAAGAGGGACAGTCTTGGGCCTGAGAGCGCTCGCCAGCACTTCCGGAGTTTCTGTTATTATGAAGAACGTGGACCGCTCGAAGCTGTCAGCCATCTTCAGGAATTATGCAATCAGTGGCTAAGGCCAGAGATTCATTCAAAGGAACAGATCTTGGAACTGCTGGTGCTAGAGCAGTTCCTGACCATTCTGCCCAGGGAGACCCAGAACTGGGTGCAGAAGTATCATCCACAGAGCATCAGAGAGGCTGTGGCCCTGGTGAAAGGCTTCCAGAGAGAACCTGGTGGAATAAGTAATAAGGTGAGAAGAAATATTCCTTAAATGTACAGTGAAATACAGGATGAAGGTGGCTATGTCTGAGTGGGGGACATAATTGAGGGATGAGATAGATTCGTTAACTGTTCCATTGTTCCTTTAGGACAGCTGGGTGGGATCTGAAATCACAGACAATGCAGCAACAGCCTGTAGGCGTCAAAGCTCCTGGGAGTGTTTCCTGGCCTTAGGGAAAAAATGCATTTTCCCCTCCTTAGCGCCACTACAGATTGAGGGTGGTGGGCCTAGTCTGCCATGACCAAGGAGATAGGACTTGATTACTTAGAGATAAATAAAAGGCCAGAAGAGTTGGGAAAGGGGAGAAAAAAATCTGAAAAACAAACAAAAAAGGATAGCACTTAGAGATCAAAGGAGAAAGACAGTAGCAAACAGAAATAGGAAAAAAAGATACATGACACGGAAAGAAAAATGCCAACAGAGTGTTAAGTCCAGACAATTAATAAAGAGGCTGGATATTAAATTAGGGTTCTGAAGATTTTATTAAGCTGAGCTCAGCGACCGTCTCCCCCGCTAAAAGGAGAACGGCCACCAGGCTCGGGGGTCTGGCTTTTTATAAGGCAGGGCTATATGCAAAGTAAGTTACAGAAGTTAAAAAGAACGTGTAGTTATTCCAGTAAAAACCGCATTCCACTATCACAACAGTGCTGTTTTATGTTCAGATGTTNTATGCCGTTGCAGGCGACTCCCGGCAGCCCAGCTCCAGGTTGAGCTGTTGTTCAGCATCTTAGCTGTAGAGGGCAGTGTCACCGGCCCTCATATGTGGGATCCGAACCGGGGCCCTCTGGCATCCCAAGCCAGTTCTTAACCATCGCGCCACTTGGCCGGCCCCTGAATTCTTATACTTTCTATTTTTCATTAGTATCTTTAGATTCTTCCCCAAAGACAATAGTGTGATTCATCTGTCATTTGTTCGAAGTATCTTATTTCTTTATTTGGCATATTAAGAGATATTACCCTGTATGCTATTGGCTTGTGACATTCCTGCAGTGAAATTCTGCTAAATAAATGACTGGGATTCTAGAAGAGTTTTTAGTTTAGGTGAAAAGTCACTACTCAAACTGAGGCTCTTGAATAGTCCTCATAAACTCTCAGTATTTACAGTCTAAATGTCCACTTACATAGTTACTCTCATTGATGAGTCCCCAGTGAGGCCCCTCAGGTGCTGGGCTGCTGAATGCTTAACAAGGACAACAGGTATAGAATGATGACATCCTGGCACAACTTACTTCATACTTATATAGCAAAGCAACGTTTTTTTCTTTGTCACAAACAAGTGGATTAAAACTACTTAAGTGGTAAAAAAGTGAATTTGAAATCCATTCAACCTATACACAAGGATATGGACAAGTTTTGACCTAAAGGATCAACACTAGGTAAACATTGATAATTTGGAAACACTGACAACTCCAGATGAGACTCAAGTTCTTAGAAAAATAACTTATCCAGAGGATTTTGGTAAGCATTACAGGATATATAAGATGACACAAGGTCTCTGCCATCCAGGTAAGCATAATGCACTAGAAATAGTAAAGGATATGACAACAGGGGACCCAAGTTCCTGTCTAACAGAAAGTCATGTCCTACATCTCATATACATTCTTTATATGTCAAAGGAAATATAAATGGATCTATATCATAAGGTTAAAACCTACCTAACAAGAATAAAACAATAATGGTTGAGGAGGACATGCCAGTGAACCAGAAAAGGGATTTTTAAAATACGAGGGACTGTGGTTGCTGATCTAGTGAGGGGTCTGGTGAGGAGTAAACTGCCTCTTACTCAAGGAGGCTGTGGACAAGCCTAGTGACGACTTTAAGGGCGGTGGCCCTTACCGGGCGAGGTTCCCTGTAGAAGGGACCGCCGCCAGAAGGCGACGCAGGGGCATCACTTTGCTCAAGTCGGGGATATGAGATCGTGGCACCGTTTGCCAGTAGGTTACATCTCTCCCAGACAACAAGTGGCTTACAGGGCTCCTCTAGGTCTCCAGTGGGCGTGGAGACTTGGTGGCATTAGCTCCTTTTCGTATCTGGTGCTGAACCGAAGCAGAAGGTCAGTTCCTCCAGGGTGACAAGGACCCGCGGGACGGCGCTGGCCGCCTAGGCTAAGACTGACTGCACAGGTGGAGGAGAGGAGATAGATGTCTGGGCGTGGCTGTCTGTCAGCCACCGGAAATACATCTTCCTATTCCGGTAGGGGCCGGGTCCACAGACCACGACCACAAAATGGCGAGCCGGGGTGTGGTCTCGGGAAATAGAGGGATCAGGTGGGGGGCTGCTCTTCAAAGGCCCCTATGCTCCCGAGTCTAGCTTCACTCGTCGGGTGTCGCGCGGTACCGACACCGCCTCCTGGAGTGACGCAGGCACCTAGCGCTTCCTCCCTCGAGCAGTGCGGAGGCGTGGCGACTTCGTAATCGAGCGTGGAACAGGGAAGTGGCGTCCACGGAGGCCAGAGCTGCGTGCAGGTAATCCAGAGCCCTGATTTTCCCTTTGGATTTGGTCAGTGAAGTCGGAGAGATACGGGCCGCCTGTGACAGTTGCACCGTTTGGGGGCGGCTGCGTGGCGGTGACGGGGTTTGTGGGGGAATGCAGCCCTTCCCGGTTCGCGGTGGCGTCATTGCCAGCCGGTGGTCGGCTTGAGAGCGTGCGAGACCTATTATCAGCAAGGCCGGTGTTCAGGCTCCTACTAACCTCCGTAAGCAATCTTTTTGTACCCTACGTGCAAATATCACACATCGATGCTGCTGAAGCACATTAGGAGGCTGCCCGCGTGCACAGGGTTTATGGGCGCCCTTCTGGTCAATCCAGAAGGTGTAGCGAATTAGTGTTGGGGGATGGGGCAGTAATGTCTACCAGTGCACCTCGCGAAACTTTTCCCTTTTCCACTAGCTTATGATAACTGGAGAAAGACACATTTCAGCCCCCAAAACATTAAGCTTCTGACATAAAAATATGGGAGGTGTCCCTGTACCTCCTAAGCCTGGATAGGCAGTAAAAGAACCAACCATTTCTTTGACTACCAGTGGCATACTCGAAAGAATTTTGTTGCTCTTCTGCTGGATCACCTCGGGGAAAAATCAGACTCTCAAAGCTGTCCTCAACCTTGCTTAAAGATCTATATGACACTGAGGAAATGTAAAGTCAGGAAAAGGGGTATCTTTACTAGACCCTTCCTGCCTCCAGAACTTTAACCATCACCGTTTCTCTTCTCCTTTTTACAGTCTGACATTTGAATATCTTATAAACAAATGTAAGTTTTTCCAGTAAAGTAAGCAAGAAATTTTAATGCACAGGGCACACATTTTCACAATGCCCTTTATATGTCTTCCCCAAAGGTACCAAAAAACCCAAAAACGTTGAGGACACCTGGTTGTTTAGTCGAGGGATATTTCTTTAGAGGAATAAGGTTACTTTTTCCCTGATTACTTTTCTGATCTTCCTGTCTCAGTTCTCATGCCAGTGTTAATGCAATGGAAAGGACACTATCAAATATCCGTGAAGTAAAGGTTTCAATCTTCATAAGAGAATGAAGGGGCATAGAAGTTGTTTTCCCCCTGACTAAACACAAAAGGCTGGGATGATCTGTTAAAATTTATAGAAACTCAAATGTGCCTTATTTGTGAAGATGGGACAGGAAGCGCACACATTAAGTATTGGATAATCTCAAAGCTCCGTTTAGCAAATGGGTGCCATTTTTTTTCACCCACCAACCTTTCCTCAACCTTTTAGAAAAAGTTATCAATTGACATCTGTATTCTCTGAGCTGTGCTTTGTTTCAAAGTTGAGTAACAAAGAAAAGGAGAGAAACATACTTTCTGAAGTAATCTGTCATCGTGAGTGCCCTAATACATGACAGTTGATTTTAAGAAGGAAGCAGGACAGGAACTTTTTTGTTCATCCTTCTCTGATAATTATAAATAGTAAGTCAATATGTATTATGTGGCTTTCATTTTTTTTTTT